ATTGTGAATAATCCTCATATTACAGTCTGACTTTCAACGAATGCTTTAAAATTTTTTTTAAAGATGTTATAATAAAACAATAAATTTGAAAGATTATTAGTATAGATTCAAATGGCAATATTATGGTAGTATACATGTGCATGGGATTAAAAAAATAATAAATGCATCTGTAATAAAATAGAGGGAGATAAAGTAAATGAAAACATAATGAATAATATAGTATAATATCTTAATATTTTGATTACTATAATGAATCTGAGACTTAATGATCCTATTTCTTAAAAGCATCTATGGCAAATGCCTAGTAATAAATTATATGATGATAAGCAAGATTACATTAATTTAGTTAACAAGCTATAACAATATACATAATGCAATCCTATGTATTGTATTTATATTAAAAATGAACAACAATATTATAGGTTTAGATATTCTAAGAAAATGCTAAGCATACATTTGTGCGTAATTATAGTCATAGTCATAATCAGCCTGAGCTTGTAATAAAAAAGAATTATTTATTTATCAATTTGCATAGCAAGCTTTAACTACAAGATTAGTAAGCAAATGTTAACCTAAAGCTGATTCTGAGTAAGCATGCAGCTCTGCAGTATATCTCAAAATATGCAAATAAATCAGAACCACAGTCTGCTGCATTTTTAAAAATATTAAACTGAATCCTAAAATGATAGTAGATCTGATGATCTGATACTTAATCCAGTTTAAAAATTGCTACTACATAGTATTGCAGAGTGGAATATTTCAGTTCAAAAAACTTATCATCTTCTCTTTGATCTTCCTCTTTATCATTCAAGTTGGCTAACTGTTTGCTTGAATATTAATAATGAAGTAGCAAAGTAAATTCGTGACATTAGAGAAAGTGAAAGTTTTGAGACAATAGATGATTGAGAAGTTTACATTATTTAAACTTTACTTAATATATAAATTAGTTAAAAATTAGTAAATCAAGTGTAAAAAGGAAAATATTATATGTATTTTTCTATATCTATCATTATTATATAAAGGTCCTTAATGGAAAGAATTCTGCTGTATAAAGGTACTTCTTTATGTTTAATATCAAGATCTTTAATAATTAACTAAAAAAAAGCTCTATAAAATAGTTAAATCTGTATGACCATTATATTGAAGAGATTAATGCAGATCTAATTGATTTAATTAAAATACTCACAGATAATGAGGAAAGTAAAATGAATGAAGTTATTAAAGAATTACTTGAAGAAGATGAGCAGGATGAATTTCAGTTTGATTGAATGGTTCTTGCAAAGATAGGACCAAATGCAGTTATCAACTGCAGTTTTAATTTAGAATCATGCAATATAGATTGAAATTATGACTGAATTAATAACAGTAGGTAATGATATTCTAATACAGATATTACAGAAGCTGATATATTCATCAATAGAGCCTCTAACATCAGACTAAGAAATGCTAAGAATGGAGAAAACAAAAGTTTAAGTGTGAATTATCAGATTTTAAATGAAAAACAAATAATAGTATTTAAGAAAATAGAGTCTCATTATAATAGCATTCTTACAGGCTATCAAGCTGAACTATTAAAAATTATTATAATAGGAACTTCAAGAACTAGAAAGACCTACCTTATTAAAACAATTCGAAGTAGACTTCAAGAAATGATAAGAATTGGATTAAAGTCACCTGTAGTTATAATTGCATCAATAGGGATTATAGCCTTTAATATAAATAGGATGACAATTCACTTAAATTTTTTCATTTCAATAATTGCCAATAATAAAAATCTTGATATAAAAGGGGAACAGCTAAAGTAGCTATAGGATAAATTAAAAAAAGTAAAGTATATTATTATTGATGAGAAAGTATAGTTGAATATTAAATGCTTGCATTAATTGATATGAGACTCTGGCAAGCATTTCTTGAACATAATAATAAATACTTTGGTAGCAAGTCAGTTATTATAGTTGGTGACTTTAGTTAGCTTTCACCTGTATTTGATCTTCTCATATACATCAACAATTAATGAAATATATTATCTAATAATAGGATCATATATACAAACAGTTTCAAGAAATGTACAAACTCAATATTATACAGTAATAATCTAAGAATTCTAAAAAATAACAGGATTTTAGAGACACTCTTCTAAGATTGTGTGATGATGAGTCCATTTTAGTTGACTAGAGAATACTATCTACATGAATTGAAGTTAAGCAAAGTAAAACAAAACATGACAAATTCTTCAATACTATATTTGTCTTAATAAAGTGAATTAATATTAATACAGTCAATATAAATTAACTTAGATCTCTAAATACACCTGTTACCAAAATTCAAGCTTCATATATAAGTGGAAAAGAAGCTAAAAAAGCTGAATCTGATATAGCATATAATCTCAAAGTACAGTTGCTACTGGCAAGAGGTGCATATATCATACTAATAGCGAACTTTTAAACTGAAGCTAGATTAGTTAATAGTTCAATAGGAACTATTTAAGATATTTTATTCAAAGAAAAATTTTTTTAGTAATTTTTTTTTTTATTGAAAAGTATCTATATGCTAATATTAGCATTTCATATAAAAGAACAAAAGCATATAAGTTTAGTTAATCAAGGTAAAAAATTTATTTAATTATATTATTTTAACTTAAATTTAATTATTTATATTAAATTTTAAGAATCTTTAACTTCAAATCTATCTTCTTTTTACTACTCTCAATCATTTATCAATTTAAACTAATTTAAATTTTCTAAAATATGTTCTGTCTTGCAACTACTGTAATAAATCTTTTTTTACTATTTTTTTTTCTTTTTTTTTATTCTTATATATCATTTTTTTTAACTATTATTTTTCTTTTATCTTTATTTTTTCTTTATTTATTTCATTATTTTTACTTATTTCTTTTTATTTTAATTTAGTTTTTATAAAAATTTTTCAAATTTTCTAAAAAAATCTGAATAAAGCTTACAACTTTTACATGATATTCAGGATCAATGGTTTATAAATTAATCTATATCTAACTAAGAGAAATATACTTTAATATTTATAAATTTATTCTATTAATAATTTTATTTTTATTTTATTTATGTATTATTATCATAAAAATTTAAATAAATAGAAACTGTTATCGAATATTTCAATCTGTTAAATAAAAAGAATAATAATAAATAGCATTATAGCAATTTTTCAATTGGTAATTTAGTAATACGTTATTTATAAATTAGAAATCTTTGTATAATTACAATTCATATGATTTTAATAGGAAGTTGACTATATAGAAAATTTTTCTATACAGTTATATTTCAATATAAACTGTATACATGATTTTTAGTTTTATCATATAATGAAACATTTCAGAATTTTAAAAATTTGAATTGTAATGATGAAAGCCTTTTGATTTTATTATATAACAAAATATTTCAATTTTGTTTAGCATTACTATTTAACAGCTTAAATTTTTTAATGATTTGTATAATAGAAATAATTTTAAAAATATAAACAAGTATTTTATGAATATTTTTATTTAAAATCACTATTTTACCTTATCACTTTAGATATTATAAATCTATTTTAATTTAGCAAATATTTTTTAATATTTTAATTTCAATTTTTACCTTCTTAATTTATTATATTTTAGAAATTTCTAGTTAAGTTCAATAAATAATAATAGATGATTTTAGTAAAATATGATTTATTTTAATTTTTTTATAATTAAAATTTATATAAAATATAATTATTAATAATATTTTTTTAAATAATTATTTTATTAAATTAATATTTTATACTTTATTTAATTAATATTTTAATATTTTTTTTTTAAGTTCATAGGAAAAGATATTTATTAAACAATTTAAGGAATAAAATAATAATTTTAATTAGAATATCCTTATATTATTATTTTTTTTTTTTTTTTACTTTATATATATATCAATGTATGTTAATTTAAAAATTAAGAATTAAAATTAATAAAAAAGCTAATTAATCTTTTTAAGATTTAAATATAATTTATATATATATAGTATATACGGTATATTTTTTATTAATTAAATTTTTTTAATAATTAAATAAAATACATTATAATAAATAAATTATTAAAAAGATGATTAAATTTAAAATTAATACCAATTTGAATTATTCTAATTATGTTTAAAGTTAAATATAACAGGAACGTTATTATTAAATTATATAATATGAAGTAGTAAAATAAATGATTACTGTAAATTTTTTTTTAGGCTTTAGCATAAACGTTTACAATTCATTTAATCGAACAACGAGTTCTTTAATATTAAACACGAATAAAATTTATTTAAATAAATCTTGATGTTGATTGGTGTGATATCAAACTTACAACAAAAGCAAACTATGATCATTACTTTTCTTTATGATCCATTTAAATTGAGAATTCGGAATGTTACTTATTACAAACCTATCCTGTTAATTAATTAATCAAAAAGGAAATTTACTTTTAAAAGCCAAATATGGTTCAGAGTTTTAGCATTTAATTCCATTTCAATTGGAGTTTTGGAAATACAATCGATCCTCATGTAGTCTCTTCATAGAAACCTTTTCAATCATCACAGTGTAACTTATCGTTGGCTGAAGATCTGGAGTTGTTGGAATTTTGCTTAGGTTCCGGGTAAAAACTAATCCAATTGATCAAAAGATTTCCAAATTAAGGTTTCAAACGAAATGATTCAGAAGCGCTAGAATTTGTGTAAGTGCCATTTTGTTGAACGCTTATGTCTTCAATGGGGGGATTCATTGATTTTAATTATTTTTTTTTTCCTTTTTATTTTTTTTTATTTTAGGAATGACTATTTTTTTTATTAAAGAAAAAAAAATTCTATTTTAAAATTTTAAATCGGATCAATCGGATCGGAACAACTTTTGTGAAATCATTGGATTATGTTTATGTAATCTTGTCGATCTACGGGATTCGTAATACCCTTTTTAAACCATATCGATGATTTGTTGATCCAAAATTTACTCTTTCTCGATTTTAAAAAAAAATGAATTCAAAAACGGATAGGATGGTAATAGATCAAGAATCAGATTTGAAAGTGGTATTACCTGGAGATCCTATTGATTTGGAAAAAAAAGAATCTTTAAAATTAGGTCCAGGTTTAACGCAAACCCAAGATTCTATAATTTGTATTAAGGCTGGTATATTGAATCATTCTAAGGATGGAAAAAAAGTGTGGGTTGATAGTAATCAAAAAAGGGTATGTAAAAAAAATTTTATTTTTTCTTTTTTTTATCTATTGACTCGATGGAATTTTTCTTTTTTTAAAAAGAAAAAGGATTATAGTATATTCCTGTAGGAGGAGAATCGGTTCTTGGAATTGTTACTTATAAAGGTGGAGAATTTTATCGATTAGATATCGGTAGTGCACACCAAGCTACATTATCCAATACGGCCTTTGAGAACGCCACAAAAAAAAATCGACCGATTTTAAATGTAAGTGACAAAATAGAATCCCTTAAAAAAAACACACACGAGTTCCATGACGCGTTTACTCTCTTCGTAATGTAATGTTTAGATTGGTAGTTTAGTGTACGCAAGAGTATCTTCAGCAAATAAAGACATGGAACCGGAGCTTGAATGTATTAATCCATCAACAAATAAAGCGGATGGATTTGGTGAATTGGAAGGTGGATACGTGATTAAATGTTCGCTAAGATATTGCAGAAAGTAATTCCCATACTCATTTCTTTTACATTTATCTTTATCATTTCAAGCTTTTTAAACTAATGGTTGGATTTTTAATTATAAATGATAGGTTATTATTAAATGAAAATTCGATATTATCATTATTAAAATTATTAGAGCAAAAATACGAATTTGAAATGGCGATTGGAATGAACGGTAAAATTTGGATAAAATCAAAGACTATTGGCGATACTATTATTTGTTGTAATATTATTAAAAATGCCGAAACTTTGAATAGTGGTAATACTAATGTTGATGAATTTAAAAGATTACTCAAGATATTTAGATAGAAAATTAAAATGCGGTCAACTTGCTTTTTTTTTTTTTTTTCTTGTCCTCTTTTAATAAAATGCATAAAAAGTTCTTATATCTTTACATAATAATATTTAACAAATTCTAATTCTATATAATATAATTGAAATTTATGTACATAATATCTATAAATATTGAATTAAAAATAACTTTAATGATTTATACAGAAATATTTTACAAGCAAAACTTTTAAAACTAAACGAAAATTTACAAAAGCAAAAAAAAAAAAAAAAAATTTTGCTCTTGGAAAAATTCAACATTCAAAATAAGCAATTAATTAAGAAAAAATTAGTAATATTGTTGTGGTTGTACTAATTACATATTATTGTCCAGTAATCTGTTTATATTCAAAATAACTTAATTAATCACTTATTAGTTATATAAAGAAAAAAAGGGGGAAGTTAAAAAATTTATTGAATTTGAAAGAGGTTTTTTTTTTTGTTTTTTTCCATTTTCATTCAAATATTAATGTAAAGATTAAAAAAAAAAAAGGGTAAAAAAAAGAAAAAAAGAAATTCTATACAAATGTTACAAAGCCCAATTTTTTTTTTTTTCCTTACACTAAAAAAAATCCTATTCCAAAAGGTAACAATAATCTCAAAGTCCAATAATAATAATAAATCTAACTACCAAGGAAATATTAAACAATTCGGAAAATAAAATATTAAGAAATTTATAATTTTTTTGAAAATTTTTGGTGAATAAGTTTGCTTTTCTCTTTAAATAATTTTCTTTGGTTCTCATCTTTCCACTATGCTACGTCGACAAATTGGACATTTGTCGGAATTTTTAAACCAGGAGTCGATACAATCTTGATGAAAATCGTGCGAACAAGGCAAATCTCGGAGTAGATCATTGCTTTCATAACCCGTTAAACATATTGTGCATCTATAAAAATTGAAATAGTGTTAATTCAAATGCATTAAATATAGTTATGAAATGCAGACAATTTCCGCACCTCTCTTCAGCAGTTTTGCTCTTGCCCATTATAAACGTTTTTGCCGGTAGGGTTTTTATGACATCTTCGGAAACACCCTTAGGTTTTGCATCACCGATACGTTCGCATAATCGAAGTAAACCTTCGTAGCTGGAGTCAAACTCATCCTCATCCTATATAACAGAAAAAGTAAAATTAATAAAGTTGAAATAAAAAAAAAATTTTTTTCAAATTCATAAATAATTAAAGTAATTACTAGATAATTATCCGGATTTGCTGCAATACCATTACTAGATAAGAATTTTGAGGTCATATTATTATTACATTTATTAAAAGAATTTTTGCGATGTCAAATTTTGAATCGAATGCGTACCCCCAAACAGGCCATAGATCCAAAAAGTCTTCCAATTCTATTTCACCTGAATCAATAAGATTCCCCAATAAAGGATAATGTGGGATAAAATGATGGTGTAGATAATTGCTCGCACTGCTTGACCTTCCACCATTTCTAGATTGACTACCTCGTGAGCCGTGACCACGACTTCGAGGAGGTTCGTTACCACGTTCTTCATGGTGATTACGCTCATGGGATAAAATTTCTGGTAATCTTGCGGTTCCACGCGTTGATGCGTTCCTTCTAGAAGATTCGTTGCGCGATGAAGATGATGAACCCGAAGTTGTTTCTCGACGATTTGCATTAGAACGGGCTATGTATCAAATTAAGTCTTAACGTTATTGAAAATTTTTTATTAATTTGAAACCCTTATTAAAATATACCTCTGCCAGCACCTAGGAATCTAGCTAAAACATTCTGTTCATCAATCTAAAATTAAAAATCGCCAAATTTTAATAAAATGTAAGAATGTAAAAAGATTTTGTATACAGACTTACAGTGTTTTGAATACTACTGTATTCATATGCTTGCATTCTTCTCGCTATTTGTTCATCAGCAGACAGTGAACCGTCATTTGTAGAATTCGTTCTTGCTGCAGTAGCTGCAGCTAACGCTGCCAGCGTTCTAGAGCGAGGATGATCGAGTGCATTATTATCTTGACGTGACTCGTGACGTCTAGGTGGCCTAAATTGAGGACGAACTGCGGTAGATGTTGTTATATTTACTTCACTATCTGAATTTTCCGGTAATTCAGTAAGATTGTCCTGTTCTTCTTCATTTCCAAGTATCCTAGCAACTTCTTGTATAGAAGTACTAAAATTTGAATTATTATTATTATTATTGCTGTTGTTGTTGTTGTTGTTGTTATTATTATTATTATTATTATTATTATTATTATTACTACTATTACTATTATTATTATTTCTATGAATCATTGTATTGCGACGGTGAAAATTCTGATTAGGCATGATTGGTCTTGTCAGTATTTCTGTACGCCCTCTAGGGTCTCGAGGTGTCCATCTGGGGGGTATTGAAGATGACGTTGGCGATGTCCTTGAAGCCTGTGATAAACCCGGAATAGTATGGTGATGAGGAGGTCTTCTCTCTGGTGGTTGAAATACTTCGGGATACATAACGATCGGTATATCTGGACTAGCAGGAGCAAAATTAGAACTATAACCTTGTTGTTCATCAACATTGTGATTAGGTGTAGAAGTGGGCCTTCGTGGCTCGACAGGTTGAGGGACTGTCTGATTAAAGTTCCTTCTTGGGGGTGGATTAAACATTGTCCGATGATAAAAGAAAGACGGTGGTTGAGAATGTAAACGAGCATATGTAGGTTCGGTTGATGGAGTCGTAACAACTGCAGATGAAGATCGCGAATTTGCGGAGAAAACCCTCGTACGATTTGATGAATAATTTCCCAATATATATGGAGGTGGTGATATAGGTGTATGATGCGCAGGACGAACAGCATCGTTGTCTGGTGAGAAACCAAAGAAAGATTCTCCATTTCCTGCTGATCTGTTGTTATTGGGCAGTGGTGGAGATGAAGATAATTGCGTTGATCTTAAATTTTGATTCGGTCTACTCGATATATCACTATTAACAGGCTCCAAAGACCCAAACTGTATAGATTGAGGCCAATCATTAGAAATTGATCTCGCCCGTTTCCTTGAGGAAGTGGCATCGTAAGAAGTAGATGAAGAAGCTCCATCATCATCTTCTTCATCACCACCATTTTCTTGTGACTCATTTGGAAAACCAAATCTCAGTGGACTTTGCTTTTGTTGATTTGATGCAGAAGATGAAGCTGACGAAGCAGATGATATCGATGACGAAGCAACAGTCGCATCCGTACTATTAGGATAAATTGGAGAAGGATGATTAACATTTGGAAATCTAAATATACCCTGAGGTGATGGTGGCGAAGAAAAATGATCGGAAAATGAAGAGATATTAAGCCTATTATTAGTATTAGGATCATAAGTTCTTGTAGGAGAGGAACCATTCCTTGAAGGATGTAAAAATCTATTCAAGTAAGGTGAAGGAGGATCCGATCCGATAGACCTGTTACTTATGTTAGAAGTAGAGGTAGGGATTGAAGGATTATTTGGGGCCAATTGTATCGGAGGTAGAAAATTATTATTATTGTTGTTGTTATTACTATTAGGTGATCCATTGTTATTTCGATTTATGTTAAAATTATTCCCATTTTCAAATGTTTGACTTTGTATGTTTGAATTATTAATAATTTGTTGTTCTTCTTCATTGTCTTCAGATTCTGTTTCTGAACTACATACATCCATTTCATCATCGTCGTCTTCATCTTCTGTGGTGGTAAAAGAAGTACCATGATTGTGATAATTATATTCAATTTCCCCTTCGCTATCTGTTGTACCCTCCATTCCTCCCTCACTGTCGTCTTCTAGGTTAGATTCGTTGGAAAAAGTTGGTGTGCCGGTATATCCTTGTTCGTTATCGGAATCACTTGCAGTAGCTCTAGAAGTGTAAAAATGGAAATTTCTTTGGGCAGAATTGACATACGTATAAATATCGCTAACTCCAGAATGCGACATTACAACAGTGGGGAAGCTACTTTTGAACTAAGCCTTTTATTCAAAATCAACAACAAAAAAAAAAAAATATTTAAACAATTGCAGAAAAAGAGAAGCTTTGAAGGGTTAACTTGTTGCGTTTTATATTACAACACGTCTTTTTTTTTGTATTTAGAAGAATTTTTTAATGAATAACTATACAAATTATAAAATACGGAAAAGGTATGAAAGGCTTTAAGGGCTGACACACTGCTGACAGGGAAAAAAATTTTTTTGGGGCCCTATTTATAAAGGGAGGACAAGTTGAAGTAACTTCTTCTTATATCACCGATAAGAAAACAACGACGTAATCTTAATTAATAATATTGTTCGGCTTTTGTCTTGTTGAATTTCACCGTCTTAGAGTTAAGTCAAAAAAAAAAAATAGGGTATTTTTTCCCTTTTTGTCTGAGCTTATTAAGAATATTTAGTAACAATCAAATGGATTACTGTCTATCGTATTCGATTTACTTTTTTTTTTTTAAATTATTGTTGCTCTGTGTGTTATGAAAGTTTTGTGATAAAAAAAGAACAAAGTTTGAAAAAGAACAGTTTAAGAACAAAACAACACAAAAAAAAAATATAAAGTACAAATACATACGCAAATAGATAAATAGGAAAATATAAAGTTAATCAAGATAAATATTAAAAATAATAGAATTCCACGAAGTTTCAGGCAAGTGGTCGCAAGAATTTAAGGATGGGAGAAACCGTGAAGGAAACTTGTTGAACATTGGTGACTTCTATATATAATTGATAAAAAATATGAGCGAAAATTAAAAATCTCGATGACGAATGACTATATTTGATCTGATACGATAGGACCTGATATGGTGATAGTAAAATAATTTTATATATATAAGCATGATTTTCTCATATTTTTTTTTATATGTAAATATGTAAATAATAAGTGTTTTCAAAAAAAAAAAAAAAAAATACAGGAAAGAAAAGCATTACAGGAAAAAAAAAGTTGAACACTAGCTGCTAATTGGGAGAACAGTTTAAACGTTTACGCAAACAACTATTAACGTAGTACTAGGCATATTGACTATCAAAATAAAATTTTTTTTATTTTTTATTTTTATTTTTTATATCTTTTTTTTTTTTTTTATTTTTTCAAATGAACTATATTAAAATTACAATAATTAGAATAATTGAAACCTTTAAAGTAGATAAAACCAGAATCATTTATTTCATTTAAGACACCCGGACATGTTTTTCATGTTTTATTTAAGCAACAAAAGCTAAAGCCGGCATGTGTTTATGCAAATAAAGCTCAACTTGTCCAATCCGAGCCAATCACATGATCGTCCTTTTATGACCGTAGGAGAGTGTCCACGGAGCGAGGTGTGAAGAATTTGATTATGGCAGCAATCGAATGGGATGATGATTTTTTAAAATCCAAAAATAAATGAAAAATTTTAATTGTAAAAAGTGGCATGTGAATACATGAACTGATGCTTTTCATTCTAAACTTCATTCCTCCAAAATAATTTCTTCCTTGTTTCTTTTGAAGGAAAGGGGAAACAAAAACCTTCAAGCATCAGGGTCAGTTGATGGAACCACAACATAATCGTCAAGGTACGATACATATCTATACCATATGTAATTAATGCATCCATCCAATTATTTTGTTTTTCGAGCCAAATCTTTGTTTATTCTATGAAATCATAGTATGAGTTTTAAAATTTCGAAAAAAAAAAAAAAAAATTGAGCAACTTGAATGGTTTAAATTATCGTCGGTTTAAATCCGGGAAATTTTTTTTTTTTTAGCCATTTCATTAGCAAAATTCCCCAACTTTCCACCACACCCCCCCTTCATCAACCGACTTCGGAATCAACGTTTCGGTGATTGATCAGCCAATCTTGGTTCCATGAAACAATAATAAATTCAATTGAAAAAAAAAAAAAAATATTTACATTTTAATTAATACTTGTATAAATTATAAATAATAATCTACTTTAATGATATCTCATCTCATGATTTCAGTTTGTCAACGATTTGATTTTCTTTTATAAGCAATTCTTCCGTTCCTCTTTTTGCAAAATGATAAAAATAAACTTTTGAAATAAAAAAGTAAAAGTCAAAGCCTCAGAATTATATAAGATTAAATAACCGCAGTAAATAGGGACTCAGCCGAAAATAAAAAAATCAAGTTCATTCATTCAATTTGGTTACACATTATTTTATATTTGTTTCAAATCTTCGCCCCCCAACAAATTCCCTGTTCATAGAGGTTGATTTACACAATAGTTTGGCCACTTATTCCGCTATGAATTCCGCTCGGTGTGTCAATGTGTCAATTCTTGCTGAAAACGGGAATTATCATACGGGAAACGAAAAAAAAATTTTTTTTTTTTATATATAGATATATATATATATATACACTGCAGAATTGTCATTTTTGGCGTATCAACCATCTAAAATATACAATAACTTTTTGATTTTTTCATTATAGTTTAATTGATAATTTCAGATGTTAAAATGTTCAAAAATGCCTCGTTTGGTTAAGTTCTTGTCACGCACAAAGATAAGCCACCCAACTACCAAAAATTCAAAATGTTTGTCTTCATAAACATTTTGTTCCCAAAAGATTATCATTCATTTTCTGACCAAAAAGTTTATAACATTCTATCTTAATGTTTGGATTACTCTTTTCTTGTTATTTATACATCAAATAAATTTCTATTATTTATTTATTTATTTATTATACTATTTTTTTTATTATATTATTGTTTTTGTATATATTATATATATTTGAATATAGAAATGTGTCGGCGGAAAAACTATAATTGACGTCAGCGATATGTACATATTTAATACGTCATTCGCAATAAAATTTTCCCGTTTATCTTTTTTAAAAAAAAATGTTTATCCACCAAAAACGCGTTCTCCCGTAACGTGGGATGTTTTTTCACTTTCTCCTCGTTTATGAGAATAACAATCTGAACTTTCGCGAGTTCATAAAGCACTTAAGTCAAGTCCACTTTTTCTTTTTGTTTTTAAATGAATTTTCTATGAAGAACCAATTTCATAAGACTTCTTGCTAAACCACAATACGAGTGTTTGGGCACAACTGACCTAGGTTTTAGATGTCAAAGTCTTCTTGCCATATGGGATGTCATGTCAAATGGAATTATGGAAATACCGTACTAGTTGAAATGTTGCTGATCTAACTCTCCCAATATAAGTTTCCATGATAAGGCGACTAGGTCGTTAACGCCGAATCTTGTATATTGACTATGTGACCTATCTTTCGACTTTATTGAATGCCTGTTGAGTTCAAAGAGTGGAATATAAATACAAATACAAATGGTATGAAGAAAGATAAGGAAGGCTATTGTAGTAGATGCGCACTCTCTTTACTTTGGAAGTTTGGCAGGCAATATTAACAGAACTAATCTGTTCTTGTCATGAAAGTGCTAGCGGCTTTAATTACAATTCTACTTAGGACAACGAATCAGAAGAGGGAGAAGGAAGAAGGTTTCAACAATCGTTCAATTTCTTTTCTTTTTTGTTACAACGTCCAGAAATTAGTGGTAAGGCTCAAGATCACGTGGATAACAAAATCATGTTTGACCATCACCCCCAGAGTATGAATGATTCAACACCCAGAAGAATCTGAAATACAATAGATGTCCACTTACATTGATTATAAACATATTTGAAGAAATAGAGTAGCGGAGAAAAACTTAATTACAAATTATTTTATTAAAACGGGAAGAATGAATGAAATGCATGCCAAACGATTAGATGAAAAACATTAGTTATGATATTATTGGGAGTACTTTGTTACCAAATTCTGAGCAATGTTGAAAAGGAGTATTAAAAAATTTATATTGCTTGTGTTTCATCTTCTCATGCATTGTAACGTCCTTAAATTTCATACAGTATTCGAAAATGTAGTTTCCTTATTTTATTGCATTAAAGAGCTTTTCATTTGAAACGAAAGATTTGGAAGTAAAGACATGATTGTTTCAGCTGCGGCACGTGATTTCAGCTTGATATTTGGTTGCATGAAAAAATTTAATTGGTTTAATTGGATCATGACCCTATTCAAAAGGGAACACGTTTCTCTGCTACTTGATTAGTACCAGGATAACCTCATTTAAGGAGGTATTGTAAGCTTGTACTACGTGAATGCAAATGACCGCGCTGATTCCAAATTTGGAAAATTGCGTCAGCAGATAGAGTTTGTCAGTAACGCTTTACCTTACAGTCCGAATTTCACCAACTTCTCAAGTCATGACTGAATATCAATCTCTTACGAATCTTATCAAACGTTTAGAAGCCGCCACTTCTCGTCTTGAGGATTTGGGTACCTCTTCTGCTGCTGCTAATAATTTAAGTCGCACTTCGGCTGGTGGTCAACCTTCTGCACCTTCACTTGTCTCTTCGCAAAGCAATGACGCGGTTGGTGGAGAAGTTCCTCCCACTCTTGCTGCCTATGACGAACTAATTGAGGGTCCCTTAAAAAATTTCCTTAAACTTTCAAAGGTGATTGGTGGTATTGTTGAAGACCAGGTAAATCTTGCGGCTCAATGCCCTACATGATTCATATTATTTTTATTTTACCTCCTTTAACTCGAATTTCAAAATTTCAGAGCCACGCAGTTGAAGATCTCTTCATCGCACAGCGCGATTATATTTATATAACCACTCAAAGTTCAAAACCAAACACCGAAACCATTTTGGAGTTAATCAAACCTACTCAACAATCTCTTGAAAAGGTTGTTGACTATAAAGAGAAAAATCGTCCTTCTCCTTTCTTTAATCACTTATCCACCGTTAGCGAAGGTATTGGCGCGTTAGGTTGGGTTACTTTTGAAGAAAAGCCTGCACCATTTGTTGGGGAATTGAGAGATAGTTCTCAATTCTATGCACATCGTGTAATCAAAGAATTTAAAGACAAGTAAGGAATATATATCTCGTTATGATATAAAAAAAAAAGAATTATAATTAATTTTGATCAACTTTGATT